CAGCTGATGCCGCCCTGTGGCTCCTGGGAAGAGCTCCCATGCTGCTGCATGTCTAGCCCACCACACCCTTCCCTCTTCCTCCTCCTCTGCTCCAACTGGAGTGCCCAGGGCTCGTGCTTTTTCCTCTCCCGTGTCTGTGCTCATTCATTTTTCCCCACATCACGTAATGAGACACCTCCTTAAGCCATACTTTCCACCCAGGCCTCTCTTGGTCTCCTGAGCATCTCCCAGCAGCCTCCAGATTCACTGCCACTGTCTGTTTGACATTCCCACTTGGGTGCTCTCAAAGGGAATTTCTCTCTTGCCCACCACACCTGCCCACAAGCAGACTTCCACTGCAGTTAGTGACAGTCCATCTGTCCAGCTGCTGAGGTTAAATCCCTTGTGAGTCACCTATTTCTCTCTTTAATATCTTATATCCAATTTACCAGGATATTCTGTTGGCATTGCCGTCAAAGCTCCTGTAGACCCCAGCCCCTTCCACGTCACCCCTCTCTCCTGGAGCTCAGCCAGGCTTCTCTTTGGTCACCAACATGGCTCCCGTGCTCCGCCCTGCTCCTATACAATCTGTTCTTGGTATTCCAGCTAGCACGATCTTTTAAAAACCCAAGTCAAATCATGTCACACCTCTGCTTAAAATTCTTCAATGAATCTTTTACAGTCAAAGACAAAGTGCACCCTTAAAGATGGCCTTCAAGGGCATGCCACACCTGGCCGTCGGTGTGCAGGGTGAGAGCCAGATTCATCCAACCTAGTAATTCCTTATAATTCTCACTCTCCCATTCCTTTCATCAAGAGGTAGAATCTATCTGTCCCTCCTGGGATGGGAGACTGGTTTGACCATAGATTGCTTTGGCCAAATGAAATGTGAGCCACTGTGACGCAGCAGAGGCCTGGGCAGTGCTTGCTATGTTGGGGTGGCCGCTCTTGCTGGCCAAGCCCTTCGGCCCACTTCCACTTCAGCTCAGGACAATGTGTCCCTCAGCTGCTCACGGAGGAAGAGGCCCAGTGACATCAGCGCCAACAGCTAGCTGTGGGGAAGGGAGGCCACATTAGACACCAGTAGTCCCACCACAGCCCCAACACCACAGCGACCCAGGGCAGGACCAGCAGGACAGTCACCTGGCTGAGCCTGGCCCAACTGTCGGACTCGCAGAGTTGTAAGCAGATAAAAGTCGTCTTAAGCGGCTGGACCTTGGGGTGGTTTGTTCCACGGCAGTAGCTACTGAACCACCCTGGTCCCTATCATCCCTTCCCTTGGTTCTCTGGTCACAGCAACCTGGACCCCGTTCCTTTTGTACACTGGGGACACTCCTGTCTTGGCTCTGGCTGAACTTCTGCCTGCAGGGTCGCTCCTCCTTGAATGACTCACCTGCCTTTGAGGAGGCTCAAACTTTCCCCATTGAAAAGGGTGTCTGTCCCCAGCCCCAGCACACCCAGTCCCTCAGCTGCTCCCTGCCTTCTCAGCCTGGCCTCCCCTAACACGCGGCGTGGCTCACTTACTAGGTTCATGACTTGTTGTCATCTCTCCCAACTAGAATGTGACTAATTTTCTTTCTTCCTTCTTACTTTGAGGTGCTGGGGATCAGACGTATGTGAGGCAGGTGCCTTGTCACTTACTTATTTCCTCCTAACTAGGAAGTAGAGGCTTTGCCTGTTTTGTTAAGATAAACTCCAAGCCCATCTAAACCCCTAAACCCCGGATACAGCAAATCCTCAGTAATTATTTCTTGAATGAACAAATTACTGGTTTGCAACCTTCAAGTTCAGACAGGATATACTGCAGCTGACATTTAATAATTTCTGGTATGAATTAAAATAATCGGTGACAAGTGTTTTTAAGCTTTAAGTCACAGTTCTTTTTTTTTTAATTTTTAATTGTAGATGGACAAAATCTATTTTATTCACTTATTTTATGTGGTGCTAAGGATCGAACCCAGTGGCTCACATATGTGAGGCAAGTGCTCAACCACTGAGCCCCAGCCCCTAAGTCGCAGTTCTTGACCTTTGTTCTCTCTAGCATTTATACACTCTCATTAGCTCACTGATTTTATTTTTATTTTTGTGCCAGTGATTGAACCCAAGGATGCTTAACCATTGAGCTGCACCCTAGCCCTTTAAAAAAAAATTATAATTTTAAAATTTTGAGGCAGGGCATAAGTTGCTTAGTGTCTTATTAAGTTGCTGAGATTATAGGAGGGCACCCTGCGCCAGTGCTCACTGATTTTCAAGAGCAGATGAGAGGCACCTTGAACAGGGAACACCAGCTGAAAATGGTCCTTTCCTCCCCCAGTGCTGTGTACTAGTCACCACCACCCAAATCACTGCTCCAGCTATTTCTTTTGAACCATATACAGTTAAAACTTCTACAAGGCTGGGGCTGAGGGGTAGTGTGCTCGCCTAGGCACTGGATTCGAACCTTAGCACCACATAAAAATAAGTAAATAAAATAGAGATATTGTGTCCAACTACAGCTAAAAAAAAAATTTAAAAATTTCTACAAAATAATGTGGAACAATTGCATTGTTCTTATGGGATCTGACCTTTAAGTGGCATTAGGAGACCCATGGAATGATGGGATTGAGGTCAAGCTGCAGTTTGAAGGTTTACATGTGAAGGAAGGTTTTTTTTTTCTTTTGTGTCTTCCAAAAGTTCACTTTAATACAATAACAGTCCAGTGTATATTAACTTTTTTAAAAATAATTTTTAGATGTTGATGGACCTTTATTTCATTTATTTATATGCAGTGCTGAGAATCGAACCCAGTGCCTCAAACGTGCTAGGCAAGTGCTCTACCACTGAGCCACAATCCCGGCCCAGATTAATTTATTTTGAAAGCAGAGCATCCACATGCGACCAAGTGATTACACATGTATGTCCTAAATTGCCACCATACACTTTAAGCATTTGTATAGAAAACTCTGATAATACTCAAGGAATGCTCTAGAGTGTCGGTATTATACAAATGGCTTTAACATAAACGTAAAGATGTGTGGTCCTGCAGGATTACTGAGAATGCAAAACGAAAATTATTCATTTTTAGAATTGGACATCAGGGAATATTATAATCTTTTATATTAAAACATAGATGAGTTCAACAAATACAGTGAGCTCTACAGAATCCTGTTTAAAACACTCCTTTTACTTCCTTGAGCCGGCTACATTTTCCCCTAAAGTCTACTTTCAAAATGTTACTCTGTTCTTGAAACCAATATTCACAAAGCTTGTTGCACCCTCATGCAAGACGGTGGGATGTCATCCCCATCTAGAGCAGTTTGGTGTATGGAGGTCGTCACATGAAGAATTTCAGATGGGAGGCAAGTACCTCATTTCAGAACATTGTTATCATCATTTCAATGAGAATAATTTACCTGAGTTGATTGTTTATTTGAAGCAAGGAACCAGTTTAACCTAAAATTGTTCACTCAGCTTTAGAAAACTCTCTACTCTGGAAAGTTAATGCAATCACTGGATACAATAAAACCTGAGGCAGGAGGATTCAAGTTCAAAGCTGGCCTCAGCTACTTAGCAAGGTAGGCTAAGCAACTTAGTGAGTTACCCTACCTCAAAAAAAAACAAACAAACAAACAAAAAAACTGTCTGGGGATGTAGCTTGGTGGTAAAGCATCCCTGGGTTAAGTCCCTAGAACCAATAAATAAATAGGAAGGAGGGAGGGAAGGGCAGGCTGGAGATGGCACTCAGTGATAATGTCCCTGGGTTCAATCCCCCTGTACCACAAAAAAGTTTTTTAAAGGGATTATGTATTATGGTCCCCATTCCCCAGTGTCACTAATGAAGAAAAAGAAAAAGGATGACTTCTCTTAGTGTTCGTGGGATTGCCTCTCAATCTGTCCTTCTGACCATCGCATCCACCCTGAGGAAGCACTCTTAAATTAACAAGAGAAGTAAACTGACCTTTCTAACTTCAGAGCCAACAGAGATGTGCCAGGGTTCTTGAATCCAAGATTCAGAACAAACAGAAAAAACAGGATACAGACCAGAGGCACAAATCTGTTAAGAGAGTTGGCATTTAAATGATCAAGCAGAAGGCCTAAGAGAGTAATTCAATATCAAACATCACAGTGACAAACCTAGATCTCAAATCCAATGGCTCAATGACAAACAGTATTAATGTTCACTAACTTTGAAAAACTATAAAGGATCTGTTTATTTAGGACATAATCTCTTAGTACCTATGTATCATTTATAGAACCAACTGAAAAATCAAGGTAAGATCAAGCCCCCAGCAAAGCCTCTCCCGGGCGTGGGTGAAACGTGAGCCCTGGGTGTTGGGTAAAGCCGGATCATCTTCCCACCCAGCTGTGTCTCAGGCCTGCTCGGCTGATCTGAAGACACAAATTTAGCACTGAGATTTGTGCATGCTGCTTTAAAATTCACAAAACCATTAAGTCCTTGGGGGAAATACTTTGAAAACAAGAGGCTGAGTGATAAGAACCTTTTTAGAAAAAAAAAAGAAAAGGGAGAAATATTTTCAAGGGGCTTTAACCCAAATTCTTACTTGTTATGCATGCCTGGCACTGTCCAGTTTAACCCTAGCCTCTCCCAAACTGCCAAAGGCAGAGGACACTCTTCTATTCACTGAAGGAAACACTTATTTTCTGGGAGTCCTCACCTGAGAAAGTGAGGGTGGCATTTATTCTACACTGTGCAGACCATGCAGCCCGTGTCCCGGGGGATCAGGACACTCCAGGATGGTCTGAGCATGTCCATACGGCCAGAGCGCCCTTTGCATTCTGCTCCAACAGCAGTGAGAAAAATGAACAATGAGGAATCAGACCACACCATGCTCCATCGGCTCGACCTTACTGTCTTAAATTAGCTCATGCATCTGGCTGAGATCTGCTGCTGAAAACGCCGAGTTCCAGCAGCCTGGGTCATTCTCTGTCAGTCTATCAACCAGCCCCCGCTAAAAGCTGTAGAAGGATAGGAAGAGGGTTTTAAAAAGAAAAAGACAGATACACACACATATACAACATACGGTTTCCGAGGAGAGTGAGGGTTCCATGCTTGTGAGGGAGAAGGAAGAGGATTATGCCGAATAACCCTCAGGTTTCTCCCAGATTTGAACATGCTGTGCTGTGGCATGAGGTCAGCAGAGACTGACTCCAACCCTGTGAGGCTGGATTCCACCCTGACAAAGCAGTATCACTGTAATATGAAGCAGGAGGACCCAGGGCATGTTGGCAGCTGTACAGAATGGCCGTTCTAGAAAGTATTGGCAATTCCAAAACAAGAAATCTCTGCCGTCACATGAGATAATCTTCAGCCCAGTTAAGCAATGAGCAACAAAACCACTTTGAATCCCAAACCTAAGCAGCTCAAAATATTAAAAGGTAGGAAAAAAAAACAAAACAAAAAAACTTTTCTCCTTGAACCAATTTGTGCCTGGGGGAAATGAACAGGAAGTGGGAGATGTGAAGGCCGTTGGTTAATTGGATTTGTATCACAAACAATACGCTGATTCTGATCGGGGAGGAGGGAGGTGTGGCCTTCTGCTCCTGGACACTGTGACCTAGTTGAGGAGCCCCAAATCTTCTCCGTGACTTTCATGTGAAGAAGGGAGAATATTTTGAAAATATATTTCTGGTAATGGACGTATGCCAGGACTGAAGGTGTGCTGAAAGCGCATTCCCACACACCCCAAAGGCAGACCTCACACCCAGCACCTGTTTCTAGTCCATCAAGAATGGATCCAAGCGCCTCAGAAACACTTCCCCCAAAGGAGAGGAACACTAGCAGATCTAGAGCAGGAAGGGAGCCGCAGAAGACTTTCTACCAAGAGAAAACAGGACAATACAGACACTCTTTTACGTATTATGGTCTCCCTGATATCATGAAAGGTCTATTCTAGACAAAAGTGACCTGTAGAGTTTTAGCAAATAAAAGTTAGCTAGAAATAGAAGAAAATATAGGACAATGAGACAAAACAAAAACCACATGCCTGCACCAACAGGAAGGCAAACCTAAGAACGGCCCATGGTTCAGTATGAGCTTGCGCTGAAGGAAGCTGTTGTCTAATAAACTGAGACTTATGTCATGATGCTGTTTGGAAAAAAATTTTTTTTTGGAAAACTCTTAGATCCAAACACTGAGGTGTGTCACAAAAGGATCCTGATGATCAGGTCCCGGTCTACCTTCCCCGTTTCATCTCCCTCCATGAACACTGTATTCCAGATGCTCAACCACCATTACCATGTGACACGCAGAACGGTGGGAAAACAGAGCGGAGGAGACTTGCCCAGAGTCACGTGGCTGAGTAGTGGGGCTGAGATTTGAAGACACAGCAACACTCTTGACTCTTACCTATTCACACCCTTGTCTATCACACAGTCAGGTCTTTATAGGAATCAGTGGAGACAGAGCCACCAAAGATCGGAAAATGAGGAAAGTGCCAGGCGTGGTGGTGTACACCCGCAGTCCCTCCCAGCTACTCAGGAGCCAAGGCAGCAGGACCCCTTCAGATGGGGAGTTCAAGGCCAGCCTGGGCAGCACAGCGAGGCACTGTCTCCACCAATCAGAGAGAGGACGTATACCACTGTGGACAGGTGAAGAGCAGAAAAGAAAGAGGTAGAACCTGAGCTGAGCTGTTCATTCCCACATGTGAGGCCACTGCTCCAGGCTCTGGAGACAGCAGAGAACAAACAATTCTAGCTAGGGAAGGCAGAACCTGCCTTCATTAAAGACATAACATGGCATCTAATTTGTGTGTGTGTGTATGTGTGTGGGTGTGTATGCGCGGGACCTCACGGGTGCTAAGCACACAATCCACCTCTGAGATAGACTTAAAAAAGTTCAGTGCTGCAGCAGGTGGTCTAAGAAACCCCAAACATCCCCAAACAGTAAAAAATGGTTACTGAGTAGTTTCAGATAAGGTAGCTTTAAAATTCCAGGTTATCAGCTTCTCACATTCTTAAATTTTGCTTTAGGTCACTTTATAGAGTTTTCTGAAAGAGTAATCTACTGCACAATGGACTTTTGTGTTATAACCAGACTATCAAAGGAAATTTTGATTCCTCGGTTAGAATGCACTGGGAACGGAGCCCAGAGAGATGGTGATTACCCATGGAAAAGGAACAACTGCATACTTTGAGTTCTGAGCTTGCTTTCTGTGGTCTGGGGAAGTGAACCCAGGACCTCACACACACTAGGCAAGCACTTTACCACACAGCAAAACGCCAACCCTTTTTATTTTGAGACAAGGTCTTGCTAAATTGCCCAGGCTAACCTCGAACTTGCAATCCTCCTGCCTCAGACTCGGGAGAAGCTGGAATTGCATGTGTGCACCACTGCATCCGGCCTGAGCTTCTTTCTCAGTAATATTTTACCACAAGGGCCACAGAAGTCTGTGAAGGCAACACAACATTTTCCTGGTGATGGGTTTTAATCCACTGCCAAAGGCAGGAGATATGAACCAGCATTTTGCTTTCTCCTGTGAACGAGGACAGAAACAGAAGGGGGCATTTGACAATCAGAGAAATCTGTGCAGGCAGATAAGTCTCAGTATTCCACAGCTGCAGACTTCAGACCAAAGTGAACAAGTGTTCCCGGAGCCCACCAGTCACACTTCACCCGTGGAGAGGTGGGACTACTGAAAGCAGGGGACACTGCGTCACTCCCTCTTACCCTCCTCAAAGTCCAACACGAAGCTTGGAGTGGTTCTGGATTAACTTATTCAATGGGGGCTAACCTATGGGCCAGACACTGCTTTTGGGGGCACTTAGAGCTCCACATAAGATGAACAGGTGTTTGCTCTCTGGTGACTGTCACCAAGATCTTCTGTTCGTTACACCACCGTTTCTTGACATTTTTTTAAAACTCACATCCTCAACAGCCCTGCCTCACCCTCTGCATGTTCCTGCAGCCTGGAATATTTCGTTGGACTTTGCTTTTTGTAGTTTACATTCTGAAGGTGAGAATTACGTTGACTCTGCTTTTTTCAAGTTACACATCTTCATCAGATTCTAATATCCAGAGCCTCCTGGGAATGCTAAGAACCACTGTTCAATGGGACACCTCACTGCCACGGGAAGCCCAGAGCTCTGAGAGGGAGAGGAGGAGATAGCTGTGGTGCTGGCGGTCCAGACTCCGCCTTCTCCAGCCCCACCTGAGTCTTTCCCACTTTGCCCTGTGGTCCCCTTCTAGAAATTTTGTTCTGACAAGATTCCATCCATGTCACACCAATCTGCTTTCTTAGGTCACCACTGCTTAAAGACAAAGGAATGAAGAATTGAACCAAACCCCCAAATTCCTCGATCTATACAATGTACTTGGTTTGCAGACAGGTTTCTGGTTTGGTTTTCCTGCCTTGCGCCTTCACTATGTAAATCCTGGTGGCTGTTTTGGGACAAATTATCTCTTTGAATGGTATCTGACTGCGTGACCAGTAAGGTTTCTTTCCAACCCCAGAATTAATTCTGAGACTGTGTGCAATGCTGTGAGAGCTCGTTTTGGAAGCCCTTTCCTTAGAATGAGAATAAAATAAGTGGTGGGAAGAATTTTTGGGGAAACAGATCAGGCACACAAAGAACGAAGTCAGGGAGGTTTCACTTTTTTAGTGTAATTAAAAAATCTTTATAAAGGTGTTTATGATCATCAAAGCTCTCAGAAAAATATATTTTCACTAGGTTTAAAATGATCATGGTTTCTATCTTTTTGCAATAACAGGCAGTCTTTAATTTCTCCCTCTTTGAAACTGCAGTTTTGTGGAAGCAATACAGTTTCGCAGCATCTGAAGGAAAGCTATGTTACAACAAAATAAAAAACAATAGCACTCACCATCCGTGAGGCAGTGATCTACAGGTCCCCAGGGAGTTCAAACTCCAGTGGAGAAGCCTGGCGCAGTCCCCTTCCCACAGGGACTCTTCTCTTGGTCGTGTGACTAGCCAGAGCAAATAGGGCATTATCAAGAATGATGCCGACAGAGACCTGGGGAGCACCTGGAAACTGTGGGCTGTTCTTGAACACTCCAAAGAACCCAGCCGCCCTGCTTCCAGAAAGCCCAAGTAGCCACGTATAGAGTGATAACAGCAGGTGAAACAAGGTCTCTGGCCAAAAGCCACAGCTCAGTTCTGAGTCAGCAAAGAAAAGAAACCGCTAGCATTAGCTGGGTGCGTTGGTGCGCACCTACAGTTCCAGCCACTGGGGAGGCTGAGGCCTGGTTCAGTCCAGGAGTCCAAGGCCAGCCTGAACAACATAGAGACCCTGTCTCAACATCAGAGAGAAAGGGGATGGGGAGGGGAGGAAGGAAAAGGGAAGGGAGGGCAGGGAAAGAGGGAAGGAGGGAAGGAAGGAAGGAGGGGGGAAGAGGGGGAGGGGGGAGAAGGAAGGGGACAAACTGCTAGCACGTGAGAAGGTTTTACAGTGAGTCTGAAAACCTAGGCAGAATAATTATTCCCTTGACTTAATTCTTCTTTTCCAACATGGTTTGGCTATTCTAGCTCTTCTGCCTTTCCATATACATTTGAGAATACCCTTGCTGTAGCTACAAAAGGTCCTGCTGAGATTTCTCATTGGAATTTTGTTAAATATGTGGATCAACTGGGTAAAAATGATATCTTAACTACGCTGACTCTTCCAGTTCCTGAATATAACCAATCTATCTATCTATCTATTCATTCATTCACTATCTATAAGAATACAGAAACTTGTTTTGTGTGCATCGGTACTTAATCTTGCAAACCTGCTAAACTCGTCTAGTCCTTCTAGGAGTTTCTGATGGACTCCTTGGTTTTCTACACGGACAATTAAGTAACCTGGAAATCGGGGCAGCCTCACTTCTTCCATTCCCATCTGTATGCCTTTTACTTCTTTCCCCTGCCTTATTGTACTGGCACTAACTGATGTTGAACAGGACAATGGTGAACAGTGCTGAGTAGAAATGGTCAGACAAGACAGTCCTACCCTATTCCCCAAAAGAATGAAAACATTAAGTATGAAGTTAGAGATAATCTTTTTTATATTGTTGTTGTTGTTAGATGCATTTAACAAGTTAGTTCAAGAGTTTCCTTCTATTCTAGTTTGCGGACAAGTTTTCAAAGGAGGAAGCTGTCACTGTTATGTGTCTTGGTACGACTGGTCCTTTTATCCTTTACACCTGCTGATTTTCTTTACTCTGAAGTCTACTTAGATATTAGCAGAAGATACTCCAGTCTTCTTTTGATTAGTGTTTCCATGGTATAACTTTTTTATCTTTGTAATCTTATGTGTATTATTTATCTGAAGTGGGTCTTTTAAAACAAACAGAATCAGATTTTTCCCCCAAATTCATTCTGATAACCTCTATCATTTCCTCGTGTGCTTATAACCATTTTTTTTTAAAGACAAGGTCCCCCTACGTTGCCCAGGCTGGCCATGAACTCCCCCTGCGGCCTTCCAGGTGGCTGTGACTCAGGCATGTAGTTCCATGCTTAGCTCACACCATTTGTAGTTACACTATTGATATGTTTGGACTTCATATATTAAGGGCTTCCATTTAATTGTTTTCTATTCTGTTTTTCTTTTCATTATCTCTCCCTCCTTTCCTGACTTCTTCTGGGTTATTTGAACATTTTTAGTATTTCATTGAATATTTGTTTCTGACTTTTTGTACAGTTTTACTAAGTAGCTGCCCTAGGTATCGCGATATTTATATATCGCATTTTACAGCTACTTAGAGTCGATATTTCACTACCTCAACTTGACCACGATCACAGGTTCTTTCACATTCCTCTCTATGTGTTATTTCTAAATACACTGAAACTCCCATTCTCTAATGTTATAATTATTTTGAGGGAAGAACAAGAGTACTGCATATTATATTTAAGCAGATATCAATCATTTCTGTTACTGTCTCTTCACTGCAGATGCCCCAAATTTTCTTTCAGTTCCAACAACTTCCTTTTAGTTTTGCCTCATCCGAAAAGGTCTTGGCTTCAACCTCATTGATGAAGGGTATTTTTGCTGGATATAAAATTGTGAGTTGACAATTCCACCCTCTCCCCAGCACATCACATTTTAATTTCACTCCTCCTGGCCCTAACAACTTCTGATGAGAAATCTGCAGTCATCTGGAGGGTTGTTTCCCTTTTCTGCTTTCAAATATTCACCTTTAGTTTCGGTGTTGCTATGATTTTAGTTTTGTGTGTCTGTGTGGGGTTTCTTGGTCTTTATCCTGTTTAGGATTTCTTGAATCTCCAGTTGGAAGCTTCCAGGCATTAGTTCTTTTTTTTTTTTTTTTTTAAAGAGAGAGGGAGAGAGAGATAGAGAGAGAGAGAATTTTTTTTTTTAATATTTATTTTTTTTTTTAGTTTTTGGCGTACACAACATCTTTGTTTGTATGTGGTGCTGAGGATCGAACCCAGGCCGCACGCATGCCAGGCGAGCGCGCTACTGCTTGAGCCACATCCCCAGCCCCAGGCATTAGTTCTTAAAGTCAATTTCCTATACTACTATTTCTCCTCTCTGCAGCTATGAGGGCTCGGATGCTATACCTTCTGTCACTGTCTCGCAAGTCCAAGTTTCTCCCTTCCCCGTCAAGTTTTCTCCCAGACTAGAGAGTCTATCCTCGTCTGTCTTCATGCTCACCCACTCTCTCCACCGTCTTCACTCTATTGCTGATCTCCCCCAGTGAATGCTTTTCTGTTATATTTTTTCAGTTGACAAATTCCTATTTAGTTCTTTATGTCTTTCCTGAGAGTTTCCATTCTTTCTGTTAATTTCAGGAATTTTGCCCTTATTTGTTGGAACATTTTATAACAGTGGTGCTAGCCTCTGTCCGATAAGCCAACGTCCGTGTTCTCTTGGCATTGGTATCTTCTGGGTTTTTCCATGTGAGTCAATTTTCCTACCCCCCACCCCACATAGGCCAAGAAGTATTTTTTTAATTGTATCCTGAACATTTTGATTATTGTTACGAGACTTCCAGATCATCTTAAACTCCCATAGAGAAAGTTGGTATTTCTACCTCAATGTGTATTAATCAACCTACTTGTCCTCTGGCTAGCACTTGTGACCAATCTTCTGTAGACTGCAGTTGCACTATCAGTTAAGTTTTCAAAGTCTCTGCAGTGCCATTGGGATGTGTGCCCCACACGTGCACCACACCCTGTGGCCAGCATGGGGCCTGGCAGTGGTTTAGGCCATATCTCATTTGTCAAAGTCCAGTTTTGTGATTTCAGGGTCACACTTCCGCATCACAATGCACAGGTAAGCCCAGGAGTTCATAATGAAGTTTAAGACTTTACTTCCCAAAGCTTCCCCAGTACTTTCCAGGTAAATGGGGCTACCCTTCCTCATTACCTGGGCAGAAAGCTGGTATCTTATTTATGCTGCTGTCAGCCACAGAATCTATGATCACCCCTGTTTGGAGGCAAGTAGGTGAAGGAGAGGGGATGTGGGGAGGAAGCAACTGGGGATCATTCCACCTCATAGAATCACAGCTGCACTGATCCCAGACAATAGTTTCCTGCCCTGGGAATTTTAGGATCCTGCTAGATTCAACCCGCTGTCATGACAGGATTGCTTGAGTTTCACAGTGCAAGAAAGCAAACAGAAAAAAAATCAATAAGCAATAATTCCTGTACTTTGTCTGAGTATTATAATAATTGTTTCTGTTCCTTCAGCCAGAACTTAGGATTTCTCCTAGAGTTCTCTGTATCTATATTAATGCCCACTTCTGGGCTTTATGCTGCGTTGAGTTTAGGCCTGGGAATGAGAAAGAGGAGAAAATGAAAAATTCAACCCTGGTTCAGAAGGACTTCAAACTCTTCTTTCCCAGTCTACCTTTCAGAGTCCTCAAACAGCTGCTGTCTGCCAGGTGCTCTAGCTGAATGCAGTGGAAGACACTGGGTGAGCGTGTCAGCTCCAGAACTAGAATCTTACCCACTCCGTTTTACGTCTTGGTTGTTACACAGCAACAGGCAACGACCTGACTCAAGAAGCCATCATGCAGTGCACGTGAAATAACCCATTCTTTATATCTTTTCTGCAGGAAGGTCACCAGATCCAACTCTAAGATAGCTGCTACCAGTTCCATGGCAGACTAGTCTCTGCTTTCTTATCTTGCCCCCCCCCCCCCAAAATAGATTCCATTCAAGCATTGGAGTAATGGAAATGACAGCAGTGAAAACCGTAGAGGACACTCACTCAGTCGATGGAGGGTCACTCTGCCATCAGGTATAATGTGCTGGGAAGAGTTCTGACATCTCATTCTCTCATGCCCTGACTGCTCGACCATCAGTCAGAAGAGCTAAGAGAATCAGGGAGACAAGTGCAAGGACAGGATAAAACTGGAAAGTGAAAATATCCTATGGGAAAAATTTCCCTCCAAGTTATTCTTGTATAGAATTCCCAAAAGAAGGGTTATTATGCCCTTGAATATACAGCATTTCACCAGCAAGCAGCATTTCATTCAGAATAGTCTGCAAATCTGTTTGTGTAATTAAACACTCATTTTTCCTAAGGGAAAAATCCAGAGATGTCAATCAGCTCCTCTGGCTTTTATGAGCTTTGCCCAACAGAAGCAAATCACTAAGAAGCAGCTAACTGTGTGGATACCATTTCACACCTACAGGGAGGAAAATATTGGAAGTGTTTGTGAAGATGAGTCAGCAGGAAGTGTCCAGACACTAGTGATGAGAGTTTAAACTGGTACAGTCACGAGGGATGGCAGCCTGGCAGTGTGTGGTTAACTGAAGATGACTATGCATGCAACTCTGCGATTCCATCCCTAGGTACAAATACGAAACTGGCTCTCACATGTCGCCATCAGGAGACCATACTGCTGAAAACAGCCTGTGTACCCCCTAACACGATTCTTAGTCCAGAACTATGGCTTATTCATAAAAAGAGAACAATGCATAATAGTTACAATAAATAAAGCAGAGTGGTACGCATCAATGTAATTAAATTTCAAGACCATGATGCGTGAAAAACAAAGTTGAATGTTCTATATACATTGAGAGATTTATATAAAATGGTAAAGAATACTCTATAAACAATTGAAAACCATGTACTGTATATTATTTTTGTAGTACAACCAGGTATATATTATGTACTGTAACCACACTATATATTATTATAGACACACGGATGGTCATGTTTGCATAAAAAGACATTTCAGTTAACAAAGGACTGCATTCACATCAGTCACCCCCTAAGATTATAATGGAGGTGAGGTCACTTGCCATTGCCTAGTGACATTGAT